GTCTATGTGATGAGTTGCTTCTCTTTTGCTGCTTTCAATACTTTTTATAATTAACTTTCAATGCTTAGATTAAAATGTGTGTGAATGTGGATCTCAGGCTTGTCATAGTTGGAGTTTGTTGAGCTGCTTGGGTGTTAGATTTATGTCTTTTATCAAATTTAGAAAATTTTCAACCATTTCTTCAGACGTTTTTTCTGTCTCATTTCCTCTCCTTGTGGCACTCTGCTACTTGTATGATGGTACACTTGATGGTATCCCACAGGTCTCATAGGCTCTCATCATATTTCTTCATTCTTTTTTCTTGCTGTTGTCCCACAAAGCGGATAATCTCAGCTGACTTATTTTCAAGTTTGTGGATTCTTTTTTCTGCCTGCTCAAATCTCTTATACCCCTCTAGTGAGTTTTTTATTTCAGTTACTACTGTACTTTCCAGCTCCAGAAACAAGCTTCTGCTTCTTTTCCATAATTTCTATCTCTTTATTGATATTCTCTATTTGATGAGACATTATTATTCTTTTCTCTCCCCCCACTCCCCTGCCCCCATGGTTTCCTTTAGCTATTTGAGCGTATTTAAAACAGTTGATTTAGGGGTGCCTGGGTGGTTCAGTCAGTTAAGTGTCTGCCTTCAGCTCAGGTCATGATCTCAGGGACCTGGGATTGAGCCCCACATCAGGGTTCCCTGATCATCGGGGAGCCTGCTTCTCCCTCTCCCTCTGCAGCTCCCCCTGCTTGTGCTCTCTCCTTCTCTCTCAAATAAATAAATAAAATCTTTTTAAAAATAAATAAGTAAAATGAAACAGTTGATTTAAGTCTTCATGTAGAAAATCCATTGTCTGGGATTTCTCAACAATTTATAGGATTTCTTTTTCTCCTATGAATGGGCCATATTTCTTTTTTTGCATGCCTAATAAATTTTTGTTGAATACTGGGTACTTTTTTTGTTGTTTGACATTTTTTGTTCCCCCCCCCCCACAGTACCAGTTATTCCTCCAGGTTTCTTTTATTTCTTTTATCTTTTTCTTCTGATCCTTGACTTTTATTCACATTTAAGAATGTGACACTAAAAAGCTACTTAGTTTGGGCATACACAGTTTTTTTCTTTTTTTTTCCCAAGTAGGCTCCATGTCCAGTGTGGAACCCAACACAGTGCTTGAACTCAGAACCCTGAGATCAAGAGTCAGACACTTAACTGACTGAGCCACCCATGTGCCCCTGGGCATACACATTTATGATTTAAAGCCCTTATTCATAGAGTGATTAGGTATGGGCATTTCAAGGGGGAACCCTCAAATGTCAACATATATAGTTTTTCACTCTTTGGGTTTTTTTACTCTTTGACTGCCAGTGTTCTAGTAGTGTTCTGAACACTGGAAAGGGAAGCTAGGATTCTCATTGTTAACTATATACACCTTCATTTGATCGTCTTGTTTTTTTGTATTTATTTTACGTTTTAAGTTTTTAAATTATGTTTTTAATTGAAGTATAATTGACCTTCAGTATTACATTAGTTTCAGGTATATAACATTAGTGATTTAGCATGTATATACGGTACTCAGTGCTCACCGTGATAAGTGTAGTTACCATCTGTCACTGTACAGAGTTATTAAAATATTATTGACTATATTCCGTATGCTGCAATTTATATCCCTGTGACTTATTTTATAACTGGAGGTTTGTACTCTTAATCCCCTTGAACACTTTGATCCCTTTGTGGGTTTTTTTTTGTTTGCTTTGTTTTTAAGATTTTATTTATTTATTTGACAGAGACACAGCGAGAGAGGGAACACAAGCAGGGGGAGTAGGAGAGGGAGAAGCAGGCTTCCCACGGAGCAGGGAGCCCAATGCAGGGCTCGATCCCAGGACCCCGGGATCATGACCTGAGCCGAAGGCAGACGCTTAAAGACTGAGCCACGCAGGCACCCCTCCAGTGGTCAAATTAATCTTTTTCCTCTGTGATGTCCTATACTGCATTTAAGTTTAGAAAGTCCTTCTTAAATAGGGCAGATTGAATAATGTGTTAATCTATCTTCCTCCTGAAATCCCTCTAAATGAGAATAAAGGAATAAAAATGATAATAAACCCACAAGAAAAAAAAGCTATAGGGGATCATTTTAATATCACTAAAGAGATGTTAATATTTTAAAATATGAAAAGTAGACAGATGGCTGGGTACCTGATTCAGTAAAGCAGAAGAAACTGAAACAGTAGCTTGTTAAGAGAAAAGCCAATGAGAAACAGGCTAATTTGTATTTCAGGCTGAGGAACCGGAAGTACCAAAAAATACCTTTAAAGTCTAGTAGCTAAGCTAGCTCAGCTGGTAAGACATTAAGACTCCAAAAGTCAGAGGTACTCAAGTAGAATTGAAAATAGGATGAGTGGTAAAAAGTCCCTTGCTTTTCTGGAAAGGATGAGCCAAAGTGGCTCTGGATTCTCAAGCAGGTGATATATTAAAACAAAGGGATTGGGACGCCTAGGTGGCTCAGTCGTTAAGTGTCTGCCTTCGGCTTAGGCCATGATCGCAGGGTCCTGGGATCGAGCCCCACATTGGGCTCCCTGCTCAGCGGGGAGCCTGCTTCTCCCTCTCCCACTCCCCCTGCTTGTGTTCCCTCTCTCGCTGTCTCTCTCTCTATCAAATAAATAAAAATTTAAAAAAAATTTTAAAAAATTTTGACCACTGGAAAAAAATGTGACATTTATGCATGACAAAAGCAAGATTATTAAAAAGCATATAGTAGACTGGGATATATGTAACAAATATGGCATAGGATAATATTAATTCCTGGTATATGAAGAATTCAAATATAAATATATAAGGAAACACTAGCGGCGGCAGCTCTCTCTGCCCATGGTTCCTGTCCCCGTGCTTTAATAAAATCATCTTTTTACACCAAAGAAAGAAAGAAAACACTGGCCCCTGAAAGGTAAATGGGCCAAGAATACAAAGAGGCATTTCACAAATACACACAAATCCCTAATTTTCAGTATCACTAATAGACAAAAATACATACTAAAGCAAGTTTTCTTGTCTTATTTGGGGGGGGAGAGGGACAGAGGGGAGGAGAGAGAGAATCTTAAGCAGGCTCCCCACCCAGCATGGAGCCCGGTGGGGGGCTCAGTATCACAACCCTGAGATCATGACCTGAACTGAAATCAAGAGTCAGATGCTTAACTGACTGAGCCACCCAGGTGCCCCAAGTTTTCATTTTTTAACTCAGATAGAAATGTGTGTTTGTGTGTATTACAGATGAAAATATGGAAAGATAGACATTTTCCTAGACTGCACATGTCAGGGTAAATTGGAATAGGTGTGAACAAAAACAGTTTCGGGATATGCTTAACTGTCATTTGACTTCGAAATTCTTCTTACAAAGCAAAATTTCTCCTAAGCAAATATTCCAAACTATGGACAAAAATATATGTAGAAATGATGGGGCGCGTGGGTGGTTTAGTCAGTTAAGCATCTGACTCTTGGTTATGGCTCAGGTCATGATCTCAGGATTGTGAGATCCAGCCCCACTTGGGGGTCCATGCTCAGTGCTGAGTCTGCTTGTGATTCTCTCCCTCTCCCTCTGCATCTGCCCCTCCCCCCACCCTGCTCACACATGCACCCACTTGTGCACACTCACTCTCTCTAAAAACATCTTAAAATATATATATATATGCAGAAATGATACCATCTTATTTTGAATATTACTAGCTAGTTGGAATAACCAACATTTATTGTGCCTTTACCATGTGCTGCAGGAACTGGGCTAAAAGTATTTTACATACATTAATCCCATTTCATCCTCAAAACAACCTTATGAGATAAATACTGTTTTTATCTTTGAAAATACTGAGGCTAGATACTGAAAGAACTAGGTCTGGAGTCCCAAATCTGATAAAAAATGTTTTCCTTTTAACTGTCATGCTCACTGAATTTTCTGTGACCATATATTGCTTCTTTAAAGACGGGGAAATAAGCATTGTTTTCAGTGATTTAATAATCTAAATGTCCAACTATAGTAAAATAGCTAATTTAGCAGACCTTTGTACTTTTATAAGAGTGATATGCAACTATTAAAAATCATGTTCTCTGAGGCTGCTGGGTGACTCGAGCGTCCAACTCTTGATCTTACTCATGTCTTGATCTCGGGGTCGTGAGTTCAAGCCTCACATTGGGCTCCATGCTGGCTGTGGAGCCTACTTTAAAAAATAAGAAAATAAAATTACATAAATAAAAATGTTCTAGAAGAATATTTAATGATATAAGAAAATACTTGTGATTAGACAAAAGAGAAAACCTTAACTATGTTTTTAAATTATTTTTTTGAACTTATAGTGGTTGCAAATATATAAAAATATTTTTTAAATCCTTGTTTCTGAGCGATTGGATTACAGGCATTGATTCATTTTCTTTATGCTTTTTGTTTTCCAAATTTTGAATGTGTACAATTATTTTAAATCAGATTAAATGTTCTAATAGTCATTTCACTTATTAACTTAATGCTTAGTGATGTGGAAATGCTTATATTTCCTGGGAAAAAAAGCCAATTGTGAAGTTATACATCTAGTCTGATCTTAGCTAGGTCTTTATTTTGTCTTAGAAAATATATTGGATGGAAATGTGCAGAAATACTAATAGTGATACTATCCCAGGGAGATGTGATTAAGAATGAGCTTTTTCGGGGCACCTGGGTGGCTCAGTTGTTAAGTGTCTGCCTTCAGCTCAGGTCATGATCCTAGGGTCCTGGGATCAAGCCCCACATCGGGTCCCTGCTCGGCGAGAAGCCTGCTTCTCCCTCTCCCACTCGCCCTGCTTGTGTTCCCTCTCTCGCTGTGTCTCTCTCTGTCAAGTAAATAAAATCTTAAAAAAAAAAAAAAAGAGAGAATGAGCTTTTTCATTACTTATTTTTATATCTTCAAAATTTTTTACTACAAGTATGTGTTTTTGTCATCAGGAAAATTTATTATTTTAAAACTTGGAGAAGACGTCTTTACTTTTTTTTCTGTTATTTTAGACTTTTGAAGACAGTGATTTATTCCATTTGATTGGTGTTATCTGTGGATTAGCAATTTATAATTTTACTATTGTGGACCTCCATTTTCCTTTGGCTTTGTATAAAAAACTGCTAAAAAAGAAGCCATCCTTGGATGATTTGAAGGAACTAGTACCTGATGTTGGAAGGTTAGTAACAAAAAGTGACAAGGGTTTTAATAGGGAATGGGAAATGTACAGAAAGCTTTCCTTTTAGGAATAATTCTATTTTGTTCTTGTTGAATTTCTAAAATAAAAGCCCTTCTGATATTGGAGAACTCTTCATGTTACCCAGATTCCAAATTTCTACTGAAAGACTTACATGTACAAAACCATTTGCTAAATTTTTAGTAATTTAACAATATTTTGCAAATATCAGATAATAAACTTAGGAAGGTAATGTTTACTGAGAGTAGTTAAATGATTTATTTGGACTTCTGATTACCTTCATTCCTAGCTGGAATATGTAAAGTTTCTTTTTATTACATAAAATGGAATAGAAATTGTTGAAAATGTTGAAAATGGGTAGATATATGGCCTTTGTATTCAGAAGAGATAAAAACCTTAGAGTGATTTTTTTTTTCTTCAGAATTGTTCATTCGCTAGCCACCGTATATCTACCATTCTGAAACAAATATAAAAGTATAGATTAATAAAAAGATTTTATCAAGAATGAGTGAGAAATATATATTTATTCATAACTAAAATAGTCAAAATACCCAATAATGTTTTACCTCAAAGAAACGTGTATTGTTTTGCAGAAGCATGCAACAATTACTGGATTATCCAGAAGATGATGTTGAGGAAACATTTTGTCTTAATTTTACGGTAAGATGGAAAGACAGAATAAGACAGAATAGCCTGATTATTCATCATCCCATTTATTTAACAGCTGTGCCTTATGGCTTTGGGTTTTTTTTTTTATTTTGATGGGTGGAATTTTTAACCCTTTAGCTAACATTTATTGAGCATTAACTATATGCTAGTCACAGTACGTACATTATTTCATTTAATCCTCATAACAGTCCTATGAGATTAGTATTACTATCCTTATTTTACAGATGAAGAAAACTGAAAACAATCATTACATGTCAATAATAATATTTTTACCCAGGCCTGTGACTTCAGAGCCTAGTGCTCTATCATTATGCTAAAGATCCTTTACAAATACAAGAGGACCTCTTTATTCAAGTATTCATTTTTGAGTCTGCAATTACAAGAATGTTTAGAGAAGCAAAGGTTATTGTACATTAGAATATTCAGTAATGAACTTACCACTTAAAAGATTAATTCCTACTCAGACATCCCTTTCTGCTTCACACTAATAGTTTGCCCTTGCCCATTTATCTTACTTTGGAAATGACATACCACAGTGAAAATGCAAATATGTTGGAATGTTATTTGGAAAATGAAATTGCAAATCTTGTCAAAGATACAGAATTTTGTTAATTCAGTGAAAGGGATGTTGAATAACTTACCCATCCAAATGCAAAGCCATTGACAAACAAGTATCTGGCAGAAGTAGACAGTTGACAAAGAAGAGAAAATCAGCAAGGATTATGAGAAGGCACTTCAGAATGGAATGATTTGAATATTATAAATTAATCTCTTGGGAAAATGGTAAAACCTTTGGTTTTCTTTCTTTTTCTTTTCATTTTAAAAACATTGTGTGTTTGTCCATCCCCCCCTCCCGCCCCCGCCAAGAGTCCTCTTTATGATCTTGAGGTCAAATCTGACAGATAACCATATTCTGCTATCCCACAATTTGCCAAAAAATACTATGTGCCCCCCTCAAAAAAGTTTATCCATTTTTTTATCATTTTAAGAATTGGCACATAGTACAATTGTAAGAAAATTTGGTAGATTTAAGATGCAATAAATGAATTTATTTTAACAATTTTTTTTTCAAGAAAAAAGGTCCTCCTTGGACTTTCTCTATTTACTATGAAATTTTTAGTTCCCCATTTCAACTGAATGGTTGGTTTTGCAATGGTTTAATTCTTCAATTCAGTTTCACTTATAGCAGTATCAATTATCTTTGAATCTTTATTGATTATCTCAATGGACTGAAACATTGGGTTCCAAACAATATAATTTCTAACTTATCAATCACCAAGTTTGTGAATGGTTAGTATATTCAAGAAGTATGGTAATTTAAACATTCCTTCCCACTGCCATTTCTTTCACAGAAATTTTTAGTGGCTCTTTATTGCTTGCATAGCAATAGATCGATAACGGGCTTCAAAAACATTTGTAATATGACTTTCTAACTTACATTGTATCCCTCCATTCATATCAGGTTTTATCATGTCACACGGTATTCTCTCACATACCTTATCTTCCTGTGTTTTAGGGCCATACATTTTCAGAACTTGATATTTACTCTCATATCCATCCTATCTAGTCTCTGTGCTCAGTCAGAAATCCTGTCCCCTCTCAGTCTTTTGAGAGCCTACTCATCCTTCTAGGTGCTTTCCAAATGACATTTCTTCCTTGAGGTCTTTCATATTTCCTCCACTTAGAAGTAAGTGTTCTTCTGTGGTCTGATAGCGTTTTGTTCATGTCTCTATTATAGCATTTATTTTATTATAAGAAGTTGTTTACATAACACATTTCTTGTCTTCAACTAGATAGTAAACTCCACAGCAGGGATTTATTCATCTCTTATCATCCCACTGCCACCACAGTGTTTTCTAGATGGCAGGTACTAAAAGAAAATGTTCTAATAGAAGAGGATAATATTCCAAAAAGAGGGACTAGAAAGAGAAAAGATACAGATGTGGGATTGGTAATATTAATAGGAAAATTAGCAGACTAGTAAGGGAAATAAAACGTTTAAAAATAATTGACTGTCTTTATAAATCCAATTAATAGCATACTGGAAAAATCACCTGTGATCAAGAATGCAAACAAGGCAGATATTAGGAATACAGTAGTAGTAGCTGTCATGTGAGAAGAATGCATAGCTGGTCGGGGCTGCATACATTTTGACACTTAGATTCTGTCATGTGTACAAGGAAAACATCCTTTCTAATATTTTACTCCTGTAGTGATTGTTCTAAAAAAGTTTTACACATAGTAAGTACTCACTTTCCTGTTCTTAACTAACCAAACACTTTGTAATTTGTAATTAACTAGTCACGGTAGGATTTCATAACTACCTCACGGTAGAAATGAAAATTTCTAGTTGTGGCGTTATGCAGGATTCACAAATAAGCTTATGGTAGTAAACAGAATTTTACCTCAACTTTATTCTTATATTTAATGAGAGAAAGGTAGAATATAATAATAGATTATTAAAATCTAATAAGTTTTGAGTCTGACATTGACTTTTTTTAAAAATTTAAATTAATAGATCACAGTTGAAAACTTTGGTGCAACAGAAGTGAAAGAGCTGGTTCTAAATGGTGCAGACACAGCTGTTAACAAACAAAATCGGTAAGTGAATTATAGCAGCATCAGTGGTAGTAATAAGATTCCGTAGGCATTTTTCTTCTGTATATAGAAACTTGTCACAGCCTTAAGTTTTTACTCAGATAAAACTTTTTGAATGGTTAATAAGGAAGTAACCACCTTTTGCTTCTGACTAAAGTTTGGGATAAAAAGATCATAAACAAGCAAAACAAAGAAGGGAGAGGGGACAACAGCAAACTCATTTTTGGAAGCTAGAAAACAGGGGTAACTAACTTTAGCCAACCAGAGAAAGCTGCAATATAAGATGGACTGGGAAGAGCCAAGAATCCTGGCAGCCAGTTCATCAATATAAAGTCTTGGGCATTGAGAATAAAAAAATGTTAGAAAGTGTATGGGGTTTAAGGGAATGTTGGAAACAGAAAGATTGCTGTTATAAAAAGCAGTTAGAAACCCATTTTAATTAGCACAGTAGCCTGGGCAGATGATCAGCAATTTATCTTCTGGGGAGATTGAACTAAAGGGACTTTGGATATCCTAGGGGTGGGAGGGAAGACGACTTTGGATTTGAGTATAGACAGACACAGCGGGGGGTAAGCGGCAGAACTGAAAACAAGTAGATTGAGTCTACAACCACCCCGCCTTGGTACTGTCTTTTGGAGGATTCTTTGGATACACTGTCTCACTTTTAAATATGAGTGGATAGGCCACAGTCTCCGCCGACAGTCGCCGCGGTTTCCTGCTTCAACAGTGCTTGGATGGAACCCTGCGCTCGTCCCCCACCCGGGCCGGCCGTTCAGAGCCAGCCTTCCGCCATCTCTTCGTCGCGCCCTCGGACTGCTCCAAGGCCCCTGCCGCCGCTCGCCGCCATCTTTTCGCAGCCGCTGCCATGACGACCGCGTACCCCTCGCAGGTGCGCCAGAACTACCACCAGGACTCGGAGGCCGCCATCAACCACCAGATCAACCTGGAGCTCTACGCCTCCTACGTCTACCTGTCCATGTCTTACTTTGACCGCGATGATGTGGCTTTGAAGAACTTTGCCAAATATTTTCTTCACCAATCTCACGAGAGGGAACATGCTGAGAAACTGATGAAGCTGCAGAACCAACGAGGTGGCCAAATCTTCCTTCAGGATATCAAGAAACCAGACCGTGATGATTGGGAGAACGGGCTGAATGCAGTGGAGTGTGCGTTACATTTGGAAAAGAGCGTGAATCAGTCACTACTGGAACTGCACAAACTGGCCACTGATAAAAGTGACCCCCATTTGTGTGACTTCATTGAGACTCATTATCTGAATGAGCAGGTGAAATCCATCAAAGAATTGGGTGACCACGTAACCAACCTGCGCAAGATGGGGGCTCCCAATCTGGCATGGCAGAGTATCTCTTTGACAAGCACACCTTGGGAAACAGTGATAGTGAAAGCTAAGCCTTAGGCTGTCTTCCCATAGCCACAAGGGTGACTTCCCTGGTCACCAAGGCGGTGCATGCATGTTGGGATTACCTTTACCTTTTCTATAAGTTGTACCAAAACATCTACTTAACTTCATTTGTACCATTCTTCAAATAAAGTAATTTGGTACCCCCCCCAAAAAAATGAGTGGATAGCCAAAGATTGATAGCCCTTCAGAACAGTTGAAAAGAATGTCAAGGAAAGAGAAACAATGCAGGATGAAGAACAAAACTTCAAAAGAAACTGTAATCAGTATTCATCTATATGGATTAAAAATTAATCACTTAAAAATCAAAAATTCAGGGGCGCCTGGGTGGCTCAGTCGTTAAGCGTCTGCCTTCGGCTCAGGTCATGATCCCAGGGTCCTGGGATCGAGCCCCGCATCAGGCTCCTTGCTCCGCGGGAGGCCTGCTTCTCCCTCTCCCTCTCCCCCTGCTTGTGTTCCCTCTCTTCACTGTGTGTCTCTGTCAAATAAATAAATAAAATCTTTAAAAAAAAATCAAAAATTCAATTAAAAATTGAAAAAAAAAATTCACTGAAAGAAATTTGTCAAAGAAATGGCACCAAAAAGCTTTCCAGAATTGAATGACATGCCTTAAAAGACATGCCTTAAAATTGAAAGCATGGAAAGTGGGAGAAAAAGAAAAAAGACCTACCAAGGCAAAATAGAATTTCAAAATCCCAGGGGAAAAAAAGGATCCTAAAACCTTCCAGGAAAAAGAAAAAAAAAGCATGCTATATACAAAGAATTAAGAAACAGAATAACATCAAATTTCTAAAGAATGACACTGAAGCTAGGAGATCAAAATTGTGAGAAAAAATTACTTTTTAACTTCGAATTCTGTATCAAAACTATCAAGTATGTGAGTGTATATAAAAACATCTTCATGCATCCAGAGTCTCAGAGAAATCTACTTCCAGTGCAGTTTTCTCAGGAAGTTACAGGAAGATGTGTTCTACCAGACAAGGAATTAAACCAAGAAAGAGAAAGACACAGGATCCAGAAAAATAGGATCCAGTATAGAAGAGAGGCAAAGAGAATTCCTTCTGCAGGAACAGCAGTGCGTAGGTTTAGGAAGAGCAACCAAAGTGGGTGAAATCAAGAGGATGGACTACAAATGATGCTCCCTAGAGTTGAATGAGTCTAAAGGAGATTGACATTTCTGTTGAAGTTAGGGATCAAGTAGCAAATTAGAAAAACAGAATTGACTGCAGAAGTTCTTTTTAAGAAAAGACGGGTAACCATAAAATATTCTAGCTTAATTCTGAATATTTATAATCACAAATATGTTAACTTTAGTGAATAGTGAACCAAAATTGTTATTATGGGAGCTTTTGGGGAGACAAAGTGAGAATGGGGCAACTAAATAAAAGGTAAATCCTCATCTTCCACAATAGATAATCAGTTCATTAGATTATATTTTAAATTGAAAATTAAGGAATAACAATATAATTAGGTTGTTGAAGTTTGAAGGTATAAATATCAGAAGGAATAGCAAAAAGTTAAGAATTTGCCTTCAAATATCTGGAATTTCTAAAGGTGCAAGACGGAACTGCTTTGTTCTCTACTGTGTAGAGCTAGCCTATTGGCTCTCGCCAGGGACTTTATCCAAATGGTTATAATCTTAGTTCCACTACTTAGAAGCTGTGTAACTGTAGGAATGTCTCCATGCCTAGTCTCCTTTTCTGTAAAATGGGATGATAAATTGTACCTGTTTCATGGGGCTATTTTGAGGATTAAATGAGGCTATAATTCTAAGATGCTTAGAATAGTACCTAGCACATGTTACGTGCTCAGTAAATGTTGGCTGTTAGTATTACTATTTGACATTTTAAACTGTACATATGTCTTACTTTGATAGCTGTTTTTAAAATAATGTGAAAAAATTTAGGTCTTTCTAACTATCCTTTCTTTTAAAAAAAAATCTTGGTTTTGAAAAACTGATTTAGAAAGGTTTTTTTCCTGCTTTTAAAGTCTCTAGTTTTTTATCTAGTTTAGAAATAATTTGAAGAATTTTTATCTTTGTATTACCAATCCTAGTTAGATAATGAAAGTGTTGAAGATAAAAATGTTAGCACATAAAATAATTTAGCCTTTTGTGTTTAAGGCACTTAACTAGTACAGATAAATTTCACTTTCCAATTAGATGAATTATAAAATTATGCCGTTACAAAATTATCTGCTTCTTTCCATCAGAGTCTAATAGCATATGCTACTGACTTTTCCTTAGGTCTGCCCAGTTTTACAGTGGCCTCCTGTAGCCTTTTTTTCCTCTTTGTAAATTCACTATGGAATTATTTTATAATTTGCTAAGAAGATTATCTGTAGATAACTGAATTTGCCAATATTCCCATTTGTAGAATGACCCTTTTTAATTTGGAAGACAGGAATATAAAATATTGAAATCCTCTGGTACCCATTCTCATTATTTGTTTGACTTAGACAGCTGCATAAAATATTTGTGGCTAACAGAACAAATTGAATAAAACCGTAGTGCTAATTACTGGATTACTGGGTAAAGGGACTTTTTTCTTTTATAGTTTCCTTTTCTATCATAATGATAACAGGCAGGAAAAAGCATCAGAAGTGTTTGTGTGTGTATGGGTACATATGTGTATACACACATACTTTTGAAAGAAAACTACTTGTAATCTTTAATGATTTTCCTAAAAGAGTGCTTAATAAACCTTTTGGGTATTTAGTTTTTAAAATAAATTTTGTTGGGACACCTGGCTTGCTTAGTCGGTAGAGCATGTGACTCTTAGGGTCATGAGTTCAAGTCCCACGTTAGGCATAGAGCCTACTTAAAAAAAAAGAAATTTTGTTTTCAGATTCCTTGAAACCCAAGAAAAAACAGACTGTTGTTTGTCTAATAGTCTGAATCCCAAAGCTCTCATTTTTTTATCACCTGATATTTTTAACAGATGACTTTCTTTAGGGATACATGTGGAGTGGTGCATATAAATCTCAATAGTTTGTGAGTATTGAAAAATTATTTTGATAGACATTTGTGTCATCATTCTTCCCATTAGGAAATGATGTTTCACTTCGGAATAGCCTCATTTACATTAGGCTGTGAATGATAAGTCTACATGCCTCCTAGGTAATACTGGATTTTTGTATAGAAGGAATAATAAACTTCTCCATTAAAGAGAAGTTTGTCCCCTTAGAATCCTAGTCCTACTTTCTCAGTTTTAAAGATAAGTAACAAAAAGTACAGGAGCACTCAAACTTTTAATGAGATTACATAGCTATTCTCCATAAAAAAAGATTTTTATATTCTGTGCCATGTGTGCCTTTTCATTTCTAGGCAGGAATTTGTTGATGCTTATGTGGATTACATATTCAATAAATCAGTGGCTTCCTTGTTTGATGCTTTTCATGCGGGCTTTCATAAGGTCTGTGGAGGAAAGGTCCTACAACTCTTCCAGCCAAATGAACTACAAGCAATGGTTATTGGAAATACAAATTATGATTGGAAGGAACTGGAAAAGGTAGGGGAAAACAAATCTATGAAATTGTTTTAATGGAAAGGCAAAGGAAAATATGGTTTATTGATGGAAAAATTGCCCTCTCACTTACTGTTTTCCATTTTACACTATATTTACAGGAAAACACTGTACCCTTCTTATTCCACAATGAATGAATTTTAGTTGTATATAAGTTAGATAGCATTTTTTATTTGTGGTAGTGATAGCTTTCGTATGAAAAATTATGTCATTTATGACAGAGGTCAGATAGAAGTCCCAGCGAAAACTGAGTTTTCATTCTGCCCAATCAGAGGAAAACCATTATGAAAAGCACTCACATTGCATAAGATCATTGTTTCTTTTTCTCTGATTACTCTCAGTGTTAAATTTTTTAGCAGAGAGTAAATAATATTCATGATCTTCATCACTAGTGCCTTAGCCAATAAAGGGATTTTTAGGAAGAAGACTGGGCATTTTTAAACTACTTTTTTCTTTTCCTTCTTCTCTATACAGAGAATTCTCAGATATTTCTTCAGATAAACATTGAATAAAAAGTGCTAGGTTAGGGGCGCCTGGGTGGCTCAGTCGTTAAGCATCTGCCTTCAGCTCAGGTCATGATCCAAGGGTCCTGGGATTGAGCCCCACATCGGGCTCCCTGCTCCGCGGGAAGCTTGCTTCTCCCTCTACCGGTCCCTCTGCTTGTGTTCCCTCTCTCACTGTGTCTTTCTCTGTCAAATAAATAAATAAAATCTTTAAAAAAAAAAAGTGCTAGGTTAGATCAGCTTTGAGAAAGATGCATGCAAGTTTGACTTACAAGTTTTTCCATCTTTGTTCTGTACCCCTGAAGCAAACAATACATTATATGTTAATTTAAAAAATTTCAGCACACACACACAAATAAGTTTTTCCATCTTTGTAATCTAAAAAACCTCTGATACAATTTTTGCATAAAGAGTTTGATACAGGGGCACCTGGGTGGCTCAGTCCGTTAGGCATCTGCCTTCGGCTTGGGTCATGACCCCAGGGTCCTGGGATCGAGCCCCATGTCGGGCTCCCTGCTGAGCAGGGGAGTCTGCTTCTCCCTCTCCCTCTCCCTCTCCCTCTGTCCCTGCTCCTGTGCTCTCTCTCTCTCCCTTACTCTCTCAAATAAATAAACAAAAGTTTGATACATAACAGCACCTATTAAGTTAGCTAACATTACAAAATACAGTAAGTCTCACAAGGATACAAAGCATTGGGAACTTTGATACACTGCTGGTGAAAATACAGTGGTATGGCCACTTTGGAAACAGTTTGGCATTTTCTTAAAAGTTAAATATTCACTTACTACATGAGCTAGCAGTTCCACTCTAAGGTATTGTCATGTTCACACAAAAATCTGTAAACAAGGGGGTATGGGGCATTATTGTTTAATGGGTACAGAGTTTTGGTTTAGCCAAAGGAAGAGTTCTGGAGATGGATGGTGGTGACGGTTGCATAACAGTGTGAATGTACTTAATGCCACCAAAGTGTACACTTAAAAAGGGTAAACTTTGTTAGAGGTATTTTACCACAGTCTTTCTTAATTGTGTTTTTAAAAATCTGCAAACATGTCAAAAACTGGAAACAACCCAGATGTGCTTCAGTGGGTGAATGGATAAACCAACCTAGGGTATATCCATACAGTAGAATACTACTGAGCAATAAAAAGGGATACACTCCTGATACGTGCAGTGGCTGGGATGACTCAGAGTCCTTATGGAGCATGAAGAAGCCAGTCTCAAAGGATTATATGTTGTATGATTCCATGTATAGGACATTTGTGAAAAGACAAAACTATGGTGAACTGGGGCTAGGGGTGGAGGGAGTATGTGATGGGAGAGGGTAGCACAAGAGAGTTCTTTGGGGTGTTGGAAGTGTTTAGTATCCTGATTGTGGTGGTAGGTACACGAGTCATTACGTGTGCTTAAAACTCACAGAACTATACACACACCAGAAAAAGCCAATTTTACTGTGTAATAATTTAGGGAATACATTTTTTAATTTAAAAATAATTAGGACTTCTAGTTAAACACACTAGAATAAACACGTTTATCTCTGCTCCTTTCCAAAATCTCACTAGAATGACAATAAAGGAAGAAAAATAGGAATACACAGAGAAAACGTGAAAATACCATGAACAAGAGAAAAAAATAGTTTTGGAAGACAGAAAATACATGAATGGATGAGTTAATGAGTGACTAGAGCAAAGAAAACAATTCTGAGCCTCCTGAGGGACAGAGTTTTTAAGAGGCAACCCATTTCACACTCTAGAATTTCTAAAAGGCTCAGGAATTGGTACATCATGTTACTGTGGTGGCAGGATGCATGGTTAGGCTAAAAGCAATAGAATTACTTCACAGCTAATTTTAGGAATTGTTAGACTCCTCAGGTTCTCTCTCTTACCCAACAAAAGACAGCTCTAGGGAAAGCCACAGAATCTGGGAAACCAGGAATAACTGAGGAAAGCTGATAGGCAAGCTTAAATCCTCCAGGAAGGAGATTGAAGATTTCTTTTTTTGGTTAAATTGATCTGCTAAAGAGGAAAGCTGCACTATCCTTAAGGAGACCCCAGTGGAAATGGATTCCACCTCCAGTCACCCTAAAATGAAAATGATACAATGTCCTCTCATCACACTTTACATCCTACACAATTTGTCCCTTTTGTCTCCTGTCATTCTTCTTCTCACTTACACTACTTTAGCCTTAATGGCCTCTTTGCTGAGCCAGTCTTGGGGCCTTTGTATTTGCTATTCCCTATGCCTGGGACTCTTTTCACCTTGATAATTCCAAAAGGGTTCTTGCCCTTACTTCCTTTTGTGTCTTTATACGTTCTCAGAGACCTTTACTGGCTATCATCTAAAATTGAGTGTTAATACACACACACACACACACACTCATACCCTGTCTCCCTTCCCTGCTTTATTTTCTCTTTGAATTTGACTTAATATAAATTTTACTTAATTGTCGTCACTGTCTATTGCTTCTTCCCCCCACTACAATGTAAGCACCATGAAGGCAGGATTTTTGTCTCTTTGTTCACTGCTATATTCTCACAGCCTAGAAGAGCACTCAGTAAGTACTTAAAACCTCGCTTGAAGATATAATTGATAGAAATACTCATTTAGTAAGATGGTAGTTTAGTATATTTTAGTGTACTTAGTATACTTTGTTTTCTTCCATTTTATATGTGATTCATTATAATTTCAGTGATTATGATTTGTGACTTTAAATGCTCTTTCTTTCATCAGGACTGTGTACACATTTCCCCAGAACCATTTAGAGGTTTTTAAAAGGGAAAAAAAGAAAAAACTTGAGCCATTCTCCTTTCATTCCCCACTAACATGCTCACAGACTGTAATTCTTACCCATTAATCCATTAATTGATTGCTAGAATTTCAGCCATTTTCTCCAAACCTGTTTACAAATAAATAGCAAGTATTTTGTAGATTTCAAGAGATCAGTCATTGAGATAATCATGGCTGCAAATAGAGCCAAAAATTTTAAGAAGCCCATTAGCAAATACTTATTGAGCTCCTATGGATACCTAGTACTGCGCAAGAGATTAGGGAGACATCAGTAAATAAGATTGAAACATGGTCTTTGCCCTGTAATAAGGAAGGTAGACATTAAATAATTTAACTCTGATGAATACAAAGGAAGAGTGTTCAGTGAATAGTATATAAAGAGGAACTTAACCTAGGCTACACAAATCTGGGAAAGCATCTCAGTAGATGGTGGTCTCCACAAGTAAGGACTTTGTTCACTGCAGTTTCCCCAGGGCTCCAAATTTTGACTAAAATTCTATCTGTTGAATGAATGAATGAATGAATTTGGGGACATTTAGTCTGAGTCCTAAAGGATAAATAGAAATTAGCCTGATGAGCAAAGGAAGAAGGAGGTTGTATTAAGAGGTCTAGGCTGAGAGAACAGTGTGTCCAAAGGCCTTGATGCTGGAAGGTTCTAAGAACTAAAATTGAAGGCCAACTGTGGCTAGATTTTAAAGAACACTTTACAGTGTAAGATTTAGTCCTCTCCTTTCTACTCACCTTTTCTTAGTGCTAGTATGTTTTCTAAAGGAGAAGTACACTAGCTCCATTGCTGCAGATTACCCCAAAATTTAGTGGCTTAAAAGTAACAGTGAACATTTATTTTCCCACTTTCTGTGGGTTAGGATTTCAGGAATGGCTTAAGCTGGTGGTTTTAACTTAGGAGTCTCTCATGAGATTGCAGTCAAGATACTGATTGGTGCTTTAGTCATCTGAAGACTTGATTAAAGATAGATTCCCTTCCAGGATGGTTCACTCACAAGACTGTTGGCTAAAAGCCTACTGTCTCACCATGAGGACCTCTCCGTAGGGCTCTTTGTCCCCTTAAAATGGCACCTGGCTCTCCCCAGAGTGAATGATCAAAGAGGTTGAAGCCACAGAGTTTATGATTTAGCCTCAGAAGTCGTAATGATTACAGAGTCAAGCCTATATACACTGTGGGAGGGGCTACGCAAGGGCATGAGCAGTAGGAGGCAGGGATCATTAGGGGCTAATCATTAGGGGCCATTGTGGAAATTGACCACCACAGAAAATTTGTCAGATTCAAGACAAAACTAACATCACTTAATATTAATGAAAGATTATGTTGTTTTTAGAATACAGAATACAAAGGGGAATATTGGGCAGAACATCCAACGATAAAAATTTTTTGGGAAGTATTTCATGAATTACCATTGGAAAAGAAAAAACAATTTCTGTGTAAGTATTTCTAACTGGTCCTGTGTTTTATGGGAAATGGAATTAATGATTAAACTATTTTTGTAGGAGATTAATTGATTACTTTGTTGGATAAGGTTTTTTCCTTACTATTATTCCAAGGTACTATTTTTAATTTTCAGTTAGAGTAAATTTTTGATCTACATCCTTATTTTGAAAGCTACATTCAATTTGCCTCAAATAGAATTGGTTATTTCAAATGAAAACAAACTCTAACACTGATTACAGTCAACTAGGGTTGTGATTCCTTTTAGAATTTCTAAAAAAGGGGACACCTGGGTGGCTCAGTCATTAAATGTCTGCCTTTGGCTCAGGACATGATCCCAGGGTCCTGGGATCGAGCCCTGCATCGGGCTCCCTGCTCAGTGGGAAGCCTGCTTCTCCCTCTCCCACTCCCCCTGCTTGTGTTCCCTCTCGCTGTGTCTCTGTCAGGTAAATAAAATAAAATAAAATAAAATAAAATAAAATAAAATAAATTTTTTTTTTTCTAAAAAAGATTTCTGGAGGATAGCTTTTTTCCTTGTTCAGTCTCCTTTTTTTTTTCTTTGGCTTCTGCATCAAAACTTTGGGGAATTTCTGTAGAAAATAGAACTTTTGTAGGACTCTGTAGCTATTTATAACCTAATTTGTGTGTCTTTAATCTGTTAAATGTGTATTCTAATTGAAATGACATTCCTTATGTTTGTTTTTTGTGTTTTTTTTTTTTAATTTAAAATTTGTGTACAGCGCAGTATTGGCTTCTGGCGTAGAATTCATTGATTCGTCACTTAAATTCAACAGCCAGTGCTCATCATAACAAGTGCCCTCCTTCATACCCCTCACCCATCTGGCGCATCCCCCACCCACCTCCCTTCCAACCCTCACTTTGTTCTCTATCATTTAGACTCACTTATGGCTTGTTTCCCTCTCTCCTTTCTTTTCTCCCTTCCCATATGTTCATCTGTTTTCTTAAATTCCATGTATGTGCGGGATCATACAGTATTTGTCTTTCTCTGACTTATTTCACTTAGCATAATACACTCCAGCTCCATCCACGTCTTTGCAAATGGCAAGATTTCATTCTTTTGATGGCTGAGTAACATTCCATTGTATATATAGACCACATACATCTTCTTTATCCATTCATCAGGAAATGACGCTCCCTTTGATATTCCTGCTATTGCCAAGAATATTTCTGTCAATCTCTTTTTGACAGTTGAAATAAAAATCTTGGCTAAATTCTTTTGTATATTGTAAGGATGACAAGTCTTAAGTGATTTGAGTTTTAGCTGTCCATTATATATTTTATTCAAAAATGTTAGAAACAAAACAGATTGAAAAAGGAATCATAATCAAAACTACATTTTGTATTTGAGCTGCAGACTAAATGGCTATTCCCAAAAGAATGGCTCTCAAGTGTTTTGTCAGGGACAAGAGTCATTGATTCATCAAACATTTATTAAGCATCTCCTGTGTGCTAACATTAAGATTACACTTTTAAAGAAAAAACTATTGTACGGATGTATAATTAATGTCTCCAAAATCAGGCTTCCATAAATCTAGAGATAGGCTTCCACATTAGAGTAAATGTTAATATAAAGGTTTGCCATGGGGACTGTATAAATAACTTGGTAATCTGTATTGTTTTGATAAAAGTGGTTGGCTGAGTGATTTTTTTTCTTGGTAGTATTTTTGACAGGTAGTGATCGCATTCCTATCCTTGGTATGAAGAGTCTAAAACTGGTCATCCAGTCAACAGGAGGTGGCGAGGAGTATCTCCCAGTTTCCCATACCTGTTTTAATCTTCTGGATCTTCCAAAATACAAAGATAAAGAAACTCTACGCTCTAAACTGATTCAAGCAATTGATCATAATGAAGGCTTCAGTTTAATATAACTTTGGAAATAATAACTAATCAGTTTATTGCAAAAGCATTAAACTATTTGTGTTTTTCTTGTGGTGATGAATTCAGCAAGGTGACAGAGGTACTATTATAATTCTTACTTGCAAAATGTTCAGTGCTATGAGTATTCATGAAAGCCAAAAAATATTAATGGAAAATGAACAAACTGTGTTAATATTAAACTTATTGTACAGAACCATGGATTTTTTTTTTTTGCCATCTTCCAATAAACATGCAAGTATTGTGAATACATTAAAGTTTTACTAACATGAATTTTAAGAGTTTGCATATTTCACAAATAATCTGGGGTGTGAGTGCATGGAAATGTTGCTTAATTTTCAATCACTGAGTGAAAAACCTTTATCTTTGGCCTGCAATAGTCATTCGATTATTTTTTCATTTTGTAAATAATGTTAAGTTTTGTAATAAAATAGTTATGTTCTGATACCAGTACAGTTTCTATGGTTGTAATTGAACTGAGCTAAAAGGATTAACAATTATGATTAAATCTTATTCTGAGAATCTGTAAAAGCAAAAAATTAGCATGATGAAACATAATCTTTGCTTTTTTACTAGAATAAATATCCTTGTGCAAATCTAAATTAACAGATAGGAGTTACTTAAATAACTTGTAGTTCTTTCCTTTTGTGAACCTGGAGATGCTACTGATAAATGGGAGGTTATCAGAAAGCTTAATAATTGGTACTGGAAGAACTGTGTCCTACAGCGGCCAGCAATAGAGACTGGCTACTGAGAACCAGCCACTGGCTTATAGCTTCCAGAACTACTGATGCTGCAGGTTGGTATTTAGTCAGAATTTTCAATGCTTTAGAAAACTATTTCCTTGAATTTTTAGAAACAAATCTTAACACAATTTTTATGGTGCTGATGCTTAGTTATCTCCTGTGATTGTAACAGTGAGTTGATGCAACCCATGTGACTTTCTGCTATAATGCAAATATTTATTTTTTAAATTTATTTTTTAAGCCGTGAAAATTGTTTAAGTAATAAAGATTTATTGGTTTAATACTTAGCCTTTCAGTGGTTCTCATATAAGATTCAAAATTCCTCAATGTCTCAGGAAAGGTCTTTAAATTCTGGATTGAGTATTACCATTGCCATACAAACTGTTTTACAGAGATCTCCAGTTTTCTTAGCTATAATTCCAAAATCCAGAACTCTGAAAAAAATTTGTGTATCTCATTTTGCAGCAAAACTTGAATTGTTGAGGCTATTATTTATGGTATTAAATGAGACTATTTGTACATTTTTTTTGGTACATTTTACTGTGGTGATATTAATAGGTTTGATGTATTTAGTGTGTTTGATCTTAGATGCTGCCTTAAGACCCCTGTGGGGTGCTTTAAAAAATTTAACATTCGTAATTCCAAAATGCAAATGAGCCCAAGTATTTTGCAGACGGGATTGTGGACCTATACTTTTCAATTTAACTTAAGAACTTCCACTGGTATGCCATAGGTGTCTATTTATATAGAGGGAAGCCCTTAAACATAAGTATTCTCACATACAATAATTTAGCTCAAATTAGCACTCTCCCTCTGAAAATTCATTTTGTACTGTTTCCCTGTGTATCCATTTCTTGAGGGTAGTGATTGTTCACATTGAAAACACATGTGTATGTGTAAGATGATTTTTTTTCTTTAGTGGCCTCTATGCTATGTACTGATCTGTGAAATAGCAGCCACTTTGGATTAATACAGATGGATTTCATTGAACAAATATTTTAACAAGGACCTGGCACATCTTATCTAGGAGCACAACAGTACAAGGCTTAATTTGGGTAAGTCTTATACTCTTCTCCCTCTGTTGCTGTAAGACATACAGTAAGTAGCATTAACAGCAGGGAGATTAATGGTAGAAAATTAAAATACCATTGAGGATTTTTCAAATTGCTGTTTGCTTTTTTAAAAATAGCACGAGGGGCACCTGGGTGTCTCAGTCAGTTAAGCATCCGACTCTTGATCTCAGCTCAGGTCTTGTTCTCAGGGTTGTGAGTTCAAGCTCTGCATTGGGCTCCACACTGGGTATGGAGCCTATTTAAAAAAAAACAAAAAACAAAAATAGCTTTGTAGATGAGTGTAGAAAATAAGCAAATACTGAGTTCACTAAATTATAAAGACTGTGATTATGGAGTGGACTAAACTTGAAAATATTTGGCTTCCATAAAGATCTACTAGTAAGAGCAATTATGTTTGTAGCTCCTGTCTGATGAAGTGGTAGAACCAAGACACACATGGCATACAACAAAACCAGAATGCAGTTTAAAACTGGAGACTTGCAATAAAGTCCTAGCCTTTCTTACACTTGGTTTTTACTGCATTTAACAAAAAGTCCTCAAAGTGTTAATAGGGCGGTCTTCCCCTGAAGGAGTGTATGGCAAGCTGAGAGCAAGGACACATGTTCTGTTCTCAGCCACTTTCCTGCTCCCTAGCTCTTTTGCACTTTGGCCATCCATATTCCTTATGGTAGTTTCCTTATTCATCCTATTTCAATAGCTTTTTTTTTTTTTTTTAAAGATTTTAATTTGACAGCACAAGCAGGAGGAGCTGCAGAGGGAGAGGAAGAAGCAGACTTCCCACTGAGCAGGGAGCCTGACTCGATCCCAGGACCCTGAGATCATGACCTGAGGCCGAAGGCAGCCGCTTAACTGAGCCACCCAGGTGCCCTGATACCCCCCCGTTCTTGCCAGTGTTTGCTAATTGGTGAACTACTCCTAGAGAAATTGAGGAAAGTTTGTTTCATGGAAGTCTACCTTCTCTGTGAGGCCAGCCCCCAGAATGGAGTGTCACACACAGAAGGGAACTCTCTTATTTTTTTCCTTTCTCAACCCTTGCTATACTTTTGAATCACCTGGAGGTACCTTTAATACTATGCACAGGCCTCCTCATGCCAATTAAATGTTCTCTAAGGAGTGATGCCCAGGTTATACTTTTTTTTTTTTTTTAAAGAATTTGACAGAGACACAGCGAGAGAGGGAACACAAGCAGGGGGGAGTGGGAGAGGGGGAAGGCTTCCTGTGGAGCAGGGAGCCGGATGTGGGGCTCGATCCGAGGACGCTGGGATCATGACCTGAGCCAAAGGCAGACGCTTAAGGACTGAGCCACCCAGGCACCCCAAAAAAGTTTCCCAGGCAATTTAATAGTCACAGTTGAGAGGCACTCAAAGTGGGAAGGAGAGGTCATTAGACCACTTATTTCTGGTAACATCCTAGCTTAAGGTTTTAGATTTCTGAGGAGAGGTTATGGTGTGCATACACACACTGCCCTTCTAGGTTACAAGTCTAGGAGCTGAGACTTCTTTCAAATAAAACTTACCAAATATGCTTCATAGGTGCGTGATGTAAACCACTGATTTAAAGCACACCATTATTTTCTATACCATGAAGAGCAGTGCTAACTAAACCATCATGTATCATTAATTAGGGTATTACAGTGAAATATATACTGCATTAACCAAGGAGACTTGGAATAGTACTGAACACAAGGCTTAAAAATTAGCTGTTTTCAAAACATGTACTTACTTAACTACTTAAACTGACCAAACACCACCTTTTAAGGTATGAACTACCTTCCCATTTTGTGCATAGAGTGAATGAAGTCGCTATTCTTTATTTTTTATACCTGAGGAGATTTTTACAGGTAATTTTTTTAAGATTTTTTAAGATTTTATTTTTGACAGATACACAGCCAGCGAGAGAGGGAACACAAGCAGGGGGAGTGGGAGAGGGAGAAGCAGGCTTCCCACGGAGCAGGGAGCCCGACACGGGGCTTGATCCCAGGACCCTGGGATCATGACCTGAGCCGAAGGCAGACGCTTAAAGACTGAGCCACCCAGGCACCCCCCCCAAGTAACTTTTCTAGTGAGAACAGGACATACCAGGGCAGAGTACTATTTTAAAATTCACTTCAAAAGTTTGCTGGTGAGGAAGGCAAGAGTCCTGAGAGTAGGAAACTGCCAGTCAAGGCTTTATTCATCACAGAACACTTACTTTCTAAGGGGCATGCTCCTGGCTTCTTGAACGGTACTTTCACTCAAGAACTTGAATGAGGGGCGCCTGGGTGGCTCAGATGGTTAAGC